TATTTAAAATAACATATTATTCACGTCACGAGATGAGTAAATGTGAATTTTTGTTAACAGAAAAATTAAGGGAGATACACTATTATACTCAATATAGGGGCTCAAATAAATAAATAAAACCATATATGAAATAGACTTTAGAAACACACCAAAGTCCATTTACAATATAAGAAAAAGACTTTTAAAATTAAATGGTGTAGAATTTATCTATATCATTAGTACTAAAAATATGTATATTAATAAATATCTCAAAAATTAATGATGCATGCTAAGACCCCTGGCAATGGCGGCCATAATCCATTTCAAACATTCATAATCAGATTCTTTTGATAATGTGCAGAGTGATTGAACTATTAGAATGCCTCAGTTAAAATTAAAAGATGTAACAGTTACTTTTTCACTGAACCTTTTAGGCCAATAAATTATGCTAATAACAAAGACGTGGGACCACCTCAATCGACGTAAGATGACCAAACACTTGATTAGATTGGTTAGTTGTGAGTTTATATATGATATGCTTTTGAAATGGATTGCAGCTTGAAAGGCAACACAAGAAGAGAGTATGATGTGAGACTAAAAATGACATGCCCACCTAACCAAGTTGGATGAAAATAAAAGTCTAAAAGAGAAAGCAAGCATCTTATGTTATACTGTTTAAGTAGGTTGTGTTTACATCATTCAAGTAGTCATGGACGTTTCCTCCACTTGTAGATGGTGCTTTCCTTCCTTCCTAGCAAGAAACTTTGTTTAGGTTGGAACATCATCCCACATCATTCATATCAATAATGGTTTTTCCAATCTCGTGCACGATATTATTGTTTGTTCTTTGTTGGGGAAGAGGACGACACATTAGACAGACACTTTAGCATCCAATAGCAAAGGCCACAAAGGCCAGGCCTTACAAGAGAAAATGGCTTAGGTATGAATCTGATCTCTGCCATGACACCTGTTGACGTAGAAAAATAGTTCGGCACTTTTCCGTGCAACTAAGTGATGTTGGGCCTTCAGTATGCACTGGACCTCAGTAGGGCGTTCGATCGGTAAGTAAGTACGGATTTAGTAAGATTGAACTATAGATCAATAGGCAGTATACCGTAAGTTCTAGTTGATTACCTCCTAGTTGGAATAGTTGTCATCTTTTATAGGCTTTGGGAGGTGTGCAAGTTGTTTAGAATTTCGATGTGGGACTGTAGACTCCAATTGTGGGACTGCCACGTGCCCTTGGGGGTGGAGTTGCCCTAATCGTGCGATCGGTAGGAACGAAACTGTAGCTAGGTGCCGAAGGCTTCCATAGCTCCAATTTGGTCCACGTGTCCAATGCTTATTGGCTGTTCATTTTGGTATAAACAACACCCATTCACAACTAACTTGGAAAAACCACCTACAACACAACACAAACCCAACTGATCCCTGTTCAAACATTTACACAAGCCTATTTTCGAAGATAACTATTTCCGCTAACGAGTTTCACCAAAATACAACAAAAATCCAAACAGATTACATGGGATGGGATGGGAAGGCAAACAAACTCTTCTTTCTTTCCCTTAATCACAGGGAATTTGATTATACGCAGCATCACAGACGAAGGGGATATCAGCATGCATGCCTCCAAGAGCACAACAGGCCTTCATAATTATCTCACATTACTTGACTTGACTTGTGGGAACCCAAGCTAGAAGTTTCCAGTATTACTCTGCTAAAAAGGGTTTATCCATTTGGTCAACAATGCTTTGCAATCCTGACCTATAACTTGGATGAAGAAGCCTCACACCTAGCTCTTTCTTCATACGAGCATTTGAGACTCTCTTCTCACCTGATAAACCCTCCTCCTTAACAATAACCGAAGACTCTTTTTCCTCAGAAGAATGTTTGATCCAGCCAGGCCACTTTTTCTCAACCAAGTCCCTTGCATACTCAAATACTTCTTCCCTTGGGGCTGGCTCATCATCAACAATATTATAAACTCGCCTGAAAAATGAAAAACAAGCCGATGAATAAGAAAGATAGCAAAAAAAACAAGAGAGAGCTCTGAAGATTCTGGGGTTTTCTCCTCAGTTATCAGTTTTGGATCTACCACTTAGGTGTACCTCACTATATTTCACAACTAGGATAAATAATTTACAAAACTGAAAGTCGAGACCTACCTGGAGGAAGATGTGCATATACTGGCCTTCAGGGCTTGACAAATGTCCTGAACATTAACTCTTGATGTGAACCGCCTATATCCTCTCATTCTCTGACTTTCCGATAAAGCTCCTTGCTTGATTATTGTATCAACAGCACTGTAGTACAGTGGAAAATAGTTTATAACTAACCAAACTTTTTGCATGAGAAAGAAGCGAAAATATTCTCTATAGAGCAGATAGTTCAAAATGATGTTTCAAATAGTATGCACTTTTATTGACTTGGAAACTGAAAAAATTTGTTACACAGTTTGAAATAACCTTTTATTACTGATTTTCTACAAGAAATGATGTTTCAAATAGTTGATTTGCTACAAGAAATGTTTCAAATAGTTGATTCTCTACTGGCAGATACTAATTCTTATAAAAACGAATGCATGAAAGTTTCAAACAAGAATGTATGCAATTGTATTGATTTCAACCAGAAAATGGGAAACGTTTCCTATTAATTAAAGATTGAAAAGAAAATATAGCATTTTATGAACATGCTTAGAATTCATCACAACCTTCTACCAGGACCATAGATGCCTCCAAGCCGAAAAACTTTTGTTGAGATGCCCATACTCTGGCCCAAATTTAACCATCCCTCCTCAGCAGCTAACCTTAATCTACCCACATCACTTGTGGGGTTAGGGGGATAACTGACAAATGATAGACAAAGTATTTTAGAGACAATTAATATCAAAATATAATGAAGAAGCAGGTTGCACATCGAAATCGTTAAATTTAGATGCACTCACTTACTCCTCATCCACCCACGCACCGCCTGAGTCTCCATATACACCTAGCAGAAGCAATTCCACCATAGTCAAAACTAACATAGAAGAGCATTAGAAAAATGAAATGACACACAATAATTTCAACCAAAGGAAGAGTGTGGATGCATGCATATATCAGGTTCTGAGAAAACATAAAATGTGAAGGAAGGATATGAAAGCTTGGCCACCACCAGTAGACATTAGACATACATACTAGTTGATGACAAATAACAAATGCATTGAAGACTTCCACCCATAAGTGCTCTCCTCAGACGAAGTTCATTATGCAGTATCTACAAAACAAGCGTCAACGTTAATATTTTCAGACAATCGTCAGCTTTTTCAAATAACAGAGCAAAAGTAGGTTTCTTTAAGAATCATACCGGGTCACCGATACCAGGAACTGGAGGGATGGAGACAAGCAGGTGGGTATGGTCCTTGATAATTTCTAGGGTGCTGGTCACGCTGAACAATCAACAATATTGGCTGCCCAAAATAAGCAAAAAGAAAATGCCCAATATCTATTTAAAGATGGAGCATTACTTACTCTGGCTGGTTTGCATCAAAAAGGTAGATATCAAAGCCCCTTTCTTCCTCAAGCTTCTTCTTCTTGACACTGCTCGTACAAGTCCCAGAGACAGCCCTAACAATGGAGGAAATAAGCTTGAGTTTCTGCAGATGAAATTAAATGTTATGACTCGGAGGATCCAAAGCATTAAGATTTACCATCCTTGGTTCTTGAGGTCTTGCGCCAACACCTGGCCGACGAAACCCATCCCCGCAATAAACATCCGGTTCCGAGAATTGAACTCCGGTGTACCGGTCATTCGAATGACGGCATGTCTCGGGGCATGACCGAATTTGAAGGCGATGGAACCCGATATTTGAAGCAACTCCATGACGAAATATCGGAACTTTGAGCCGCAGAAAGTTAACAGAGATTCAGTTACAGGACACTACTCGGAATCTGCCTGACTTTTCCAGTTGCTAAAAGCTCACTGGCACTGAGGGCTGCTTGCATAGGGAAGCCCACAGTTGTTATTTCAATGGGCTGGCGGGTTCAGTTAAGCCCACAAGTAACTGACGGATCATCAAACTTATAAACCCTAAAGCCCAACCTACCCAAATCCGAATGTGTAGGTTTTTCTTTATTTTTAAATACAAACGATAGTCTAAATTATTTTAAATTAATATAATTTCTTAAGTCAAAGTCGGCAAGCTCACTGCTCAGACCAACTAACCTAACCCGACTCTGAGCACTTTTTTATTTTTTGTTTTCGAGGTCAAATGAAAAATCCCAAAAAGAGAGAATAGAATGTCATATACTCAAACGTGTTTCGATTAAATTAAGTTGATGCCTTTGTAGAATAAGAACAAAAGAGGAAAAGCCATTTATTCGAAGGAATCCTTAAAATATAGATTAGAGACTAACCACCAGACCATCATTCTTTTCCTTATTTCCTTGAGCAAGAACAAAGAAGAAAAATTAAACTCCCCCCAAAGGTAAGAGTATATATTGTGCACTTCTGAAAACACAAGCATCCTCCACCTCACACACATGCATTGCATTATTGATGTAATGATATTGATAAAGAGAGTAGTTAGCTGATTAGATTAGTTTGTCATTAGTTACTCTTGTAAGTAATTAGTTAGAGCTGTTGTAACAGCTTGTACTTGTACATGTGGCTTTATCTATTGTATAGAGTAGACATGTGTTAAATATTCTTCTGCAATCTTTTCTCAATTAATTAATGAGAATCACAATTTCCTTTAATTGAATCATCAACTAGCAATTAATTATTTAAGATGTGGCTACAAACAAATGGTTGACAATAACTTAATGTTTTTAGTGTAAGCAAATTTGCATGGTTCAAAATAAATTTCCTACTTATTTTGGTCTGCGGCTGATGATGATGCTACAACTTTTATCAGCAACCTACTTTCGTTCCATCACCGATCCATATATGTACGTACCCAACCCAACTACTAAAATAAATGAGGTTCAACAAAAATAAATGAATTGATGCTCAAAGCGTTTGAGAATCACTTTCATTTGACATTTTCTGCAGGCTGCAACAGCTAGCTAGCATACATGACCTGTCTTTTCATTTTGAATCTCCTTATTACTTCCCTTCTCCTCTCTGATTTGAAAGAAAACAATTAGATCACTGCTTTGGCTTCTGAACAACTTGGAAGAAAAACCCAAATAACACAAAGAAGGAAGGGAAAAGAATGGAAGAGCATATTGCGAGTCTTGTACTGTTGGGGGTAATTTCATGGACAACAGCCTTTCTGTTCATAAGAAAGATGTTTCCAAAGCGGTCCTTTGACTTCTGCAACCGCCTTGTTTCTACAATTCATGCAACTGTAGCTGTAACTTTAGCTTCCTTGTCCGTTGAAGATTGGAAGTGCCCAGTTTGTCCTCAGGCTTCAACGTCGTCTCCTCAGCAGGTCTACTTTTTTCATCTTCTCCTCTGCATTTTCTTAGCTTTTATTTGATTTCTTCTTCTTAAACTACATATTCTAATTCTATGGTGGATTTTCATTTTGAATGGTGAGTGAGCAGATGAAAGCACTCGCCGTGAGCCTTTCGTATCTCATCTATGATCTGGTGTGTTGCCTCTTTGACAAGAAATTCAATCTTGACAACTGCGTCCACCATTTGGTCAGCATTGTTGGGATTGGAGCAGGCCTTGCCTACCAAAAGGTAAACAAAACAAATTAGTCAATCTATCTAGATGACATTTCCTTGTTTAGCTCTGAAAAAGATTTCTTTGGTTTGGTTTGGGCAGTGTGGGTCAGAGATGATAGCAGCATTGTGGATAACAGAGTTGTCTAGCCCTTTCCTCCACTTGAGGGAGCTTCTCAAAGAGCTTGGTTACAGGGACACCGACCTCAACTTAGCAGCCGATGTAAGAAGTTACAAGACTTCAAATTGTGGAACAAAGATAATGGTAGGGGTCAAATTTACTCATTTTGAATCTGATGCCCTTCTCTTCTTGTATAGATTTCATTTGCAGCTATATTCACGGTTGCAAGGATGGTTGGGGGGCCTTATCTCAGTTACGTGACTCTATCTGCTAACAATCCTTTCATCATCAAGGTACTTGTTTACATAGCCCTTTTCTTTTTCTTTTTTCACTTATATCTTCCATAACCATATTGAAATTGAATTGTCCATGTTCTTCAGGCCATGGCACTAGGATTGCAGCTGGTCAGCACTTTCTGGTTCTACAAGATTGCAAAGATGGTCAAATACAAAGTGATCAAGAGGACTGGGCCTAAACAAGTTGACGCAACCCAACGTAGAGACTAGGGAGAGACAGATGCAACTGTAATGGGATTTGGGAAATGCAATCTTTTTCCTCTTCGTTTGTTGCTTTTCCCCTGTTTTCATCCGGTTTGCTTTCTAGTGTTGCTTTTTAGCATTTCTAAATTTCTTTTGAAAATCCACCTTTTTCTTTGTCAATTTTCTGAACATTCCTTAAAAAATCCACTTCCCTCACATTGCATGCCAAAACGAATTTACAATTTTTTTTACATTATACAAAACTGTACGTATACCATTGATGAATTCCCAACTCTCTTCTCTAGACTTTCCCAGTTGACCTAATCTCCTGCCACATATGCTACAAATGACTTGCATCCTCGCTTGAGAATGAAGAATTGGAGGCCGCGAATATATTTTACTTAAATAGTCTCTTCCTACAAGTTAAGAATTGGTGCGGCTCTTTGCTTTCTGCAACACCTCCCTTAAAACCAAAGCAATCCTTTGTGCCATGTGCGGTTCCAAAAATCTTTCCTTCACTCTCTCATATCCTTTCTTGCCCATTGTCAACCTCCTTTCTATATGTGTGGCTAATTTTACAATGTTATTCGTCAGCGATGTTGTACCTTCTTTACCAACAGGATGCAGGAGTCCTGTTGTGCCATTCACCACAATCTCCATGGTACCCCCAGCTGCCGTGCCCTGGAATGACTCAAAAGAAAACAAAAAAAATAGTTAATTGGAAACTAACAAACATAATACCGACTGGAAAACAATTTTTCAAAAAAGATATGAATAAATTGCAATCTGGATGAACCACGTCTGGTAAATGATGCACCGGAAAATAAAGTACTACTCTGAAGTAAAGGACATACCAGTACAGGCAGCTGAAAGGCCATTGCTTCAATAGTTATCCTTCCAAAGCACTCTCCTCGGGCCTACACATGATTACAAAGTTAATCTTCATATGTAAGAAAACAATGCAGCAAGATTTGAATTCTCTTGCACAAGTTAGCATGAATTAAGTGCAATCTACCTGAGAATTCTGGACAAGAACATCAATTGCAGCCAGATACGGAGCTACAGTCAGGGTTTTATTCACAAAGTGAACACGATCCTGAATTTTTTTCTCTATCACAAAGTTGCGCAGCTCTGTTTCAAATTTTGTCTGCTTACTCATATCACTTCCTACTACAACTGCATGCAAAGATGGCACCTGCAATTTCTTCTCCTTGATAATTTGCAGACTTTCGTGAAACGAACGGAGAAATAGATCCTGACCTTTTCCACGTGATACACCTGAAATTATATCACACATAGTCCTTTGAATATAAAAGTCGAATAAAGAAATGCATATGAACTAGAGTAGTGCAAAGATAAACAGATAACTAAACTGGCAACGTATTGCAAACGTTATGATAACTTATGGATACAAAACAAAGAGGCAGTAGATCCCATTCTTGCAATTCAGGATCTGGTATAACGACAACATCTCAAAGAAAGTACTTGTAAAGTGAAGGACTCAAACCCAACCAAACTACTACAAAATCAGGCCACAAAAGCAATCTTTCCTCAAATAAAAGTGAAAACAATGGAAGTTGAGAAATGACGCATTTTGTATGTTTATCTCTACCCCAAAAAACTTTAGGTGTTAGGATATGAGCTTGTTGTCACCACTAATGAGCCAAACACGCGAAATTCAACACAAATTGGGGGTTTTTTTTAGTTGCAGGAATTCAAAATTGCAATCTCTACTCTGATACCCATTTTAAATTTAATTTTAATTATTTCGAGTCTAATGAGAACAGTAAAGTACATAAACATAGAAACTTAAAGTAATAACAAAGAAAGCATACTATTTATGATGGCAAAGAGTAGATCTTCATTTCGCACTCCAAGAGACTCCCGGACATGCTCACGAAGAACCCTCCTGGATACACTATCTTCAGCAACTTCCATTAGCTCCTTGCTATTTCCAAGGTGCACAACATAGGTATCTGGCATTTTGATCCTACAAAGCACAAACAAAATATGCATAATCTACAAATGATAACATAAAATTTCCACAAGAAGAATGATAGAACATGCTATGGTGCATGTAATTTTATGTATCATATCATTCTTCTTACCCTAAACGCTCCCGAGTCCTGTTCTTCCAATATTCTGCTGTTGTATGCGAGTCTATCATGGCACCTGCAACAAAAGGGAGATGCTTAACATACTCCACTTTGAAATAATGCCCTCGCATTTCATGAATCCACCACAACAACTTTGGAAGAACATGAGGAACATTTTCCTTGAGAACAGCATCGAGCCATTTTCCAGCAACAGCAGTATTTAAAACAACCAAATCAGCCTTCAGAGCTGTATCTATTGCTTTTTGGCCCTTTGTAGGGAAGACCTAACAAGTGTGAAAAATTCATAATTAGAAGGCCAACGAGTATAGGGACAACCAAAAGAAAAAGAACACTATGCTCAAAATAATATACTCATACTAATATAACAGAAAAAATTGAGATCTCAGTTACTTATAAAACACAGTTGTTTCTCCCCAAATAAAAAAATAAAATAAGAATCAGAGAATAAATCAGGAAACAAGACATTGCAAGGCCGCAATGGCCTGCCTGTCCTTGGTTACTGTCAATGCCTAGGCTTTATGATTACCTATATGCTTGTAGATTATCAAATTTCAAATGTAAGAATAACTAATGATACAGCCAATACCATAAAGATCATGAGGAATGGGCAGTTATATTCCGAAACGATGGATACTCAATTAGCCCACTTTAAGTCCAAACATTCAACTACAGCTGGAGGCATCAATTTTCTTTTAATAGAGACACCAGCTCAATTGTACATTAGGGAGGAAAGAACGGTGAAATTTATGCAACTTGATCCATTAGCAAAAGTTATACATCTGATGGTTCAATTTTCCAGTTATGTTTAATGATAAATTGAAAAACTTACGTCTTAGTTACAGAGCAGAACTACACAGTTCCACAACCCACTATACAGAACTTGTAGTCATTCATTTATCTGGTTATTTTATGGAAGAATAAATAAATTGGTTATTTCAGACGTCCATAGCATAGTGTAACATATATTCTTAATTTCGAAAAAGTAAAAGCCAATGAAACCAGAAACATCTTTTCATATATGATTCTGGAGACATGTTTTAGCAATGAAGCAATGTCAGAGACTGAGAGCTGTAAAGCTTAAGAGAGCATCTTGCAGTGATGCTGCTGCTTAGAAAAATTGAATTTGGAAATGAAGTAAAAGAAATGACACCTGTACTCCTCGGTCCAGCATTTTATTCTCCAAACTGTAAATCACCTCATCAGCCTCCTCTGGCTTCTGGTTTGTTATCCAAACAACCTCAGCTCCCACTCCTCTTAACAAGAACGCTAGCTCCATCAATAATAAAGGACCCCCTGTTTGTTTTTTGGTCAAGAAGAAAAAAAGACGAGACAGTTAAAAGAAAGAGGGAAAAAAAGAGGAACACACAACTTTAAGCACTTTCTTTACTTTTTTCTTCTATAATTTTTTTTTAATTTTTTTTAATTTTTTTTAATTTACTTTTATTCTTCCTTTCCAATTCCGAGAAACACACGAAAAGAAGAAAAAAAAAGTGAAGAAAAATGAGATTTACCAGAAAGAGAGAGCTCATGGGAAACTAAGAGAACCAGCTTGGACTTCATGAAATCCAGAGGGCTCGGCCCGCCGCTCCCGGCTCGACCTGCTGAGTGAACCACCTCACTGGCTCTATCTCTTCCTTCCTCGAAACTACTGCTGGTGTTTGCGTTGCATGAATCAAACGCAGTTCTCATGAAGAAAACCATGGCAGTGGAGAGAGAAAACAGCGCCAGAACCATCAAAGACCATTTCTTCTTCTGCATTCCCATCCACGCATTCGCCGGCTTCCCCATGAATCTCTTAAGCTTTTCCCGATTTCATAAATTTCATATCATTTGAAAACTCCGATCTGCAACGGCAAGCACGATGTGTAAGATCAAATCTGAGATTTTTTTTCCTTCAGAATATTTAACTTGATAGAACTTCAGCGTCGTAGACTCGTAGTTGAAACTTGTGGTGTGGGCTCGACAACTGAATCCCAGAGGGCTTTTGGACTTGCATTTTTATACAAACATTTTTGGACTTAAAAGTTACGCACGCTTCCTTAAGCTTCTTTTGGGCTAAGCTTTTCTTGGGCTTCTAGTTGACGCTTAGGTTTTTATTCAAGAATTCTATAGCGAGGGCTTTATTTTTAGACGAGGTTCTTTCTCTTAACCGTTAAATCAAATTGATTAGTTTGATCTAACAGTTAAAAGATGGGGCCTCTAAGGCCTTATCCTCACTATAAAATGACTCGTTTTTTATTATATGGGATGTAAATTTACATTAATTTGTGTTACGGTTAACGTTATACTTCCGGTATAAGAATAAAAAAAAGATTAAGGGGAAAAAATAAGAATAAAAAGTGGAAGCAAAGGTAAGCGAAAAAGAAGTTTGGGAAGAGTAAACATGTGAAAAGTTGGGCATTATGAATGGAGAAAGAATTGATACATACTTGGGTTTGGTACAAGAATATGTATGTTCCTGGAAAGGCATCAACCACCAAGAAAGAAAAGGACCTTCATTAAGATATTATTAAGATATGTTTTCCTTTCTGTGTTTTTGTGTCCATGTCATTAAGAAAAGCCGAAAGTGGAAAAGAGCTAATTGCGTTATCTGGAGGAACCTTGGATTAAAGTTTAAAAAGCCCCCTTAAGAAAGGGAAAAAAGGGTTAATTAAGAAATGGGGGGATCAATCAACAAAGTCACAAAGTTACTAGAAAATTCTCCTTCATTCATTCATATTTCATAAGTTTGGTTATTGGTTTGGTTTACAAGAATTGAAGGTTACGTACCATAAACCAAACAAACAGTCTTTGGATTAAGCATATAGAAATTAAAGCAGTTTATTAATTAAGTCGGCGACAATTGTTTCTAACTTCACCCTTGTATCCAGTGAGAGGCCTGATGTTGCCCATATTAACCATTGACTTGGCAAACTGCTGAAAGAAGAGGCTCTCATCATCTGCATAGGTTTTGACCAGCTCCACGGTCTTCCCTGCATTGCCAATGCCATTGCCATTGCCAGTGAGAAGCACTTGGTCCGAAGTAAGAAGGCCTTTGCCAAAGAGAATGAGCTTGAAGTAGGCGTTGTCAAATTTGGCAGGGGAGGCAAAGTCCATGGGGCTAATGTTATTGTCACCACCTGATCTCGGGCAAACTGATTTCAAACCAAAGTAGTAGCTTCTCTCTAGAGTCTCGTCTGGTTGGTTGTTGCCCTTTTGGTTGTACAGCCTCTGCTTGAACGTCACGCACCTCGCAACCCCAATGGTATGCCCTCCTGCATTCATCAAAATCATGTCATTAAGTGTGTGTTTGCAGAAATAATCAAAAGATAATAACGATGAATTATATATAATTGAAGTACCTGAGAGTGCAACTAGGTCTACGTCGTCGAGGCCTTGACGCTTGAAGAAGGTTAAGAGGGTTGACAGAGTTGAGTTTGGTGCGGGGATGTTGCTGTTTGAGCCACTCAGGCTAGCAGTTCTTGAGTCTCTCCTTCCTAGTGGTAAATCCCAATTAGGCCCACCGCTCTGTTCCATATTCCACCAACTTCACTTGTTAGTAGTAGTAATTAAATAGTTGAGGCTTAATTATACTAATCAACTATAATTTGTTTTCTTACTAGAACAATGGACCCCCTTGCAGCCAGAGCAAGAATGTCAGCACAGGAGACAGTTTGGGGACATGCTTCTTCCAACTTGGCCTTGATCTCATCTATCACTTCAAATCCTCTCAGCGAATTCCTGTTTGGACCTGACCTCTTTTCGCTGGCTATCGTCGTGCTGTCGTCCAATAGCACCGACGCATCACAGCCCTGCAGCCAATCATCATATCATAATAACATTAAGCCATGCACGTATATAAATATGACTTTATATATATGCAATCAACTAGTGGCGGCAATAAATATTCTTTGTAAATAGCGAAAGGCCTTTGAATTTGAAAATTACCTGAACAAAGCAGTCATGGAAGTGAAGCCTAAGCAAAGAGGCAGCCACCCTGGGCTCCCTTGCAATTGCCTGCTGTAACACAGAGATGACAATGTCATTAGCTTGAGGGCATGAGAACTGATAGAATTGCGGAAAAAGACCAAAAGACCCGCCAGCTGGTGCACCATGACCCCTACTAGGTTCACTGCCCCATCCGGATCCCCACCCGAAGTTGAAACCGGCGGGGTGAGCTAGGGACAGAGTACTGGCTGAGAACAATGCCATCACCACCACAAGACCTAAGAAACTCACTTTGAAGACTGCCATGGTTATTGATAATTCAGACCAACTCTTTAAGACTTATTTTTCAAGTCCATAGATTTCAGTGTCTGGCTTACTTGCTTGATTGCTGCATGGCACCTTCTTAATTTATAGAGCAAATTAACCACTCTCCTACCAAATCCTCACTGAATCACCTACTCTGTCTGGATAAGGAGCTAGCTATGAGACTATGACAGACGACAAATTGACAATGTCAACTTGATATTACGTATATTTAGTTGCTTTCCTTTCTGTGAAAGAGAGTTGCGTTTCCGGGGTTTCTGGTATCACCTGCTCCGAGATCACTTTTTATTCTCTCTCTCCATTTGGCTACAGTTTGCATCACTTTAATCAATCAATAGAGTTGGGTTTCCGGTGTTTCTGGTATCACCTGCTCCGAGATCACTTTTTATTCTCTCTCTCCTTTTGGCTACAGTTTGCATCACTTTAATCAATCAATATATCACATTGTCTCAAAAGAGAGTGCGTCTCTTTTGCTTCTGCAATATCCCAACGCGGTTTGAGTATTAGGTAGGCTAAGGCTAGGGCCTATTTCATCTCAATATTAGCTATGAAGCCTCAGTTTTGCAGAACATGGACAAGTTGAGAAAGCAACAATTTGAAATACCCTTAAGAGGTTTCTGACGCATTTTAAGTTTCAAACTTCTGATTTCAGATAAGTGCGACTGTTTCAATTTCGATGATTAGTTGAGACTTTGCTATATACAGAAACCTCAAGTTGGACCAGTGTCATCGGCCATCATGGGATTTTCAAGTACATCCAACTACCCACACGCTAACTTTGTGTTGTGTGAATTTAAGAACTTTGTTACAAGGCCCAGCGCGGTACAATAATTTTGTGCAAGGCAACTGAAAAAATTCATAATAATACACTAAGATGGAGAAAGGCTGAGTTTAAGATGTAAGAAATTTATCTGACAAGAAATGCAGTTGGTTACATCTGTGGTCTGTATCTAGTTTCTAATAAGCACCTTACACCCAACAGAAAAATGATACATATACAACAGAATAATTACACATATTTCTCTGTGTCATTGAAGAAAATTGAGATCATGATATGCACAGTTGCCTCAATGGTGTTAGCAGCCTTGCATACCGTAGTGGGACGTGTGCCTTGATCAGTGTCCCTTTGTCTGTATGTTCCTATGAATTAAGTATACAAAATGTTGAGAACAACTATGCAACTGAGACACATACCAAAAGAAAAAGAAAAACAAGATAGTAGAATTAAAAATCAACATTCACGGGATACTTACCGTTCTCTCCACCATTCCAACCTTGTGTATGGTGCTGAGAAGCTCCCCTTTTTCAAACGGGATCAAGGCTTCCACCCATACCATAGAGTCCTGTTAAACAAAATATAACGTTATCTTTCAATTTATAGAAGCACGAACTCCACTATTGAGTATCAAAAAATAAACAGTGAAACAAGCACACGTACCTTCAATTTTTCCTGGACTGCATTGCAGAATTCATTTACGCCCTCACCGCTCAGAGCAGATATGCAAACAACATCATCTCTCTTTTCTGCTTCCAACTTGATGCTTTCAGGATTGCTAACCTTATCAACCTGGAAAAAGGTAGCTGCGTATCATCAATCTCGTGTATAGATTACAAGGGAGAACAAACACCACAGAAGTGAAAAAGAAATTCCCTAAGGTGACGATAAAAAAAGGGTAACTACACAATACACAGATATTTGGTAACTACACAATACACAGATATGATGATAAAATAGAGTGCCACATTGGATGGATAACAGAGCCACCAAGAAGATTCACTGTACCTTGTTCCACACCATCAACCTTGGAATTGAGGACACATCTAGTTCTGACAAAACTTTGTCCACAGCATCTATCTGTTGCTCAGCTAGGGGATGACTGAAGTGGATATCAACATCTAATAAGATAACAATGTCCATCATCATGAGTGGATCATTTTAATATGTTTTCCCAACTTGTACCTGATATCCACCACATGCACTAATAATGATGACTCTGATATCTCCTCCAGTGTTGCTCTGAAGGCAGCAACCTGAAAGATGCAGTTGGTGGAAAAACGTTAAAGATATCATCAGCTTGAATCTGAAATTGGATTGACATTCATCAAAACCTTTTTCTTGCAGCTAAGTTGATAATGAACAGGGGAGAGAGAGAGAGAGAGAGATGAAATTAAACTGCAGAAGTGGGAATGAAACAAGCATATATATTACCACCAAGTGGAAGTAAAATAGCACAAACTTATTAGACAAAATATTAAATTTTCACCAAAAGACTGGCATATCAACAAGAGAAATACTTAAAATCATGCTACATAGACTCAATGTAAAAGTCCCGTTGTTTCAACTGGAACAGATGCATAAATAAGTTAACTGATTCCATAAACTCCAAATTCTGGATTATAGGCCTTAAAGTAGCTCATTGTCGGTGGAAGAATCAAAGATGGTATAGCGTGTTGATCAAACTTTCATGCAACCAGAAGCCTGTTTGGTGCTACATCAAAATCTATGTTTACATCTTTGACTCTTCAGTTGTTTATCCAGTAGTTAACTCATAATCAATGATGTAATAAGAAATTCCCTGAGGATGATCAAACTACCTGAACCCTTCTTGTGGTTGGATCTAGGGTTGCAAATAATCGATCCTCAGCCAGCACATTTGCTCCAGTCAATTGATTTAAAAGAGTACTCTTTCCAGCATTGGTGTACCCAACCTAGTTTCCCAAAGCATTACATGCACAACATCAACAACAGGAGAAACAATCATCCATATAATTTTGAATTTCACAAGCTCTACGTATACTTACCAAAGATACTACAGGAACAGGTACTGAAAGCCGCTGATTCCGGTACTGCTTTCTATGCTTTCGAACAGATTCTAGCTCCTTCTTGAGAACACCAATCTAGCATTACAGACATTTGTATATGAAAATCAATTTCCAGAGTCAAATCTTAATTCACCAAAAAGAAGAAGGAAACAAAAATCTCTAATGGAAACTGTAGTTTGTAATCTACAATTTCTATGGAAAGGAGCAGCATTAAGATAAACTCGCATCTCTATGATGCAATGAATTACTGGAATACTGATCATTCAATTAACAGGGCTTACTTGAGTACGTAGGATACGTTTATCCACTTCAATTTGTTTCTCACCCATTCCCTTCACCTTGCCTCCTGCTTGACGCTCAAGATGCGTCCACATTTTTGTTAGCCGAGGTAACTGGTATTCCATTTGTGCCAATGCAACCTAGAAACATCACAATTGTCAGCATGAAAATTCTGGAAATTGTTATTTTGTTTGTTAAGTTATTACTACAAACAAGAACTTGAATCCAAAAGTGAGATTGTACTTCCAACTATACCAAGTATGACGTTGGCATATTTTCAAGTAGCACGAAACACATTATTACTACTAAAAGGGCAATGATTATTTGCCTGTAAAGCTGCTTCATGTGTTGCTGCCCGCTGGTTAAAAATATCCAGAATGAGGGCAGTGCGATCACAAACTCTAACTTCCCCACCAAAAGCCTTTTCCAAATTGCGCAATTGCCTAGAATAGTAACAGTTGAATAAAAGGAAAAAATTACTTAACTCAAAATGTGCACCATTAAGTCTCGTTCTACACCAAGACTAATGTCATAAAAATTTAAATGAAGCTGGTGAAAAAAAAGGCTCATGCAGTTTTCCAGAATAAGACAGTGCTGACAGTGAGTGGAGAAATGTATACGATAAATATATTTGTGCTGGTAAGGTTTTATTGAGGAATTGAGGTTTAAGCAGGTAAAATCTCCACGTCTCAAATTAAAGCTAAAGAGAAGACAGCTCAATTCTGGTCCAAACTTTCTAACATTGATAAGTAGAGTTCCAACAGGCACAGCAAATTGATAGATGCAGGGGAAATGAAGCCAGTATTGGCAAAATAAAACCGTGTAACTCATATAAATCAGTCTCTATAGGAAGCATAAACATGCACGAAATAACAATAAAGTCACTCATAATGTTTCATACCCTGCTGAGAGCTCATCATCAAATATGACAGTCTCAACACCCAATGCGTTAATTGCACCCTTGATTTCTGCAACCTTGCCAGATCCAATGTATGTCCTTGAGTTTGGAGAAACGAGTCTGCATCACATATAGCGTTAGAAATTGATGCTAGGTGAACAACAGGAAACAATTTGTAAATAAAATATTCCGAAAACAGAAATAGTCTTCTGGAAGTAAGCATTAAAAAGCTACTTACTTTTGATATGTGGAGCCAACAACCATAAGTCCAGCAGTATCAGCTAGCTGGGTCAATTCCTTGAGTGATTCCTCTACACCAAATAAAACCTCAGTATTACTACGTTTGTGCTCAACACCCACAACGTAAGCTTTTTCTTCAAAAATCTGGGAGAAAAGAGTGGGTCATCCTTAAGAAAACCAATCGAAACGAGGAAACTTATCACAATTTCTCACACCTCACTTTTCCCCCAGTTGAACTTTCCCCAAAAATATGATTATTCTCAAAACAAAACCAGCATAAACACGAACGCAAATTTATTTTTTGGATTTTCTCAGTAACCAAAGATGATCTCAAAATAAGACAGTAAAAAGAAGAAAAAGAGACCAACCTCCCTTCCGTTCCTTAACTTGAACCTACTCTCGGAGCTGTCTTCAACCTCCTTCTTCTTCTTAAATCTAGTGGACGGAGTTAGGGCTTTATCCTCTGATTTGGTGTCCGCGACTCCATCAATGACTCCGTGAACCTCTTCATTTACTTTCTCTATGGTATCAACATCAATCAACGGAGGGTCCTGCAGCAGCGACACGTCGTCTGGTGAAACAACACCTAGGCCTTGTTCGACAGCTCTTACGACGGTTCTTGGAGACGCATTGGAATATTTTCTGAGCCTGAGAGAGCTAATTGGCCGAACTAATTTTGCGAGCGGCCATGAAAGGTAAGGGTCCTGAATAAGAGGTGAGGAACGAATCAGAGAGCAAGAAAAGCATGCGCTCATGATAGAATTTTGATCTGAATTTGTGATCTTTGTGTCTCCGAGCAATGCTACCCTGTAAAGCTTTCAACTTCCAACTTCTAAGCGTATCAGTTTATCGTCGCGCGTTCTTTTCTTTTGGCTCAGATGACATGTCGTTATTTCTAACTTCCGAGCACATATGATGTCGTATTGTCGTGTGATGGGTACCGTATAAGGCACTGGCCCAAATATTTGACTCGGATTTTGCCGGAAATTCCACCCAAAAGCCCAAATCATTTTCGTTCTCAACGATGTGAAGAGTGAAGACCTCTGCATTTTCGCCGCCGTTTCAGAAACGCAGTGTAATGAACTGCTTGTCGCATTTTTCCTCATACACAGCGGCCATTTTCAGAACGACAGGTCGGTCCCCCGGGACGAGTGCTCTGTGCGGACCTTCTTCGTGGAAGAGAAGATTTGACCTTTGTACTAATAGTAAGTTAATCAACTTAGAATCAGTGCTGACGAGGTTACATATTCAGCTCTATTCGTCTCGAAGCAAAGGCAGCAGCAGCAAAACGACGTCGCCCCGATCGCGGAAGAAGTCGAATCCCGAACCGGCTATGGAACCGGACAAAGACTCCTTCTATGTAGTGCGCAAAGGAGACGTCATCGGTGTTTATAAGAGTTTCAGTGATTGTCAGGCTCAGCTCGGTTCTTCGGTAAAGTTTACTTATTTTTCTCCGTTTGTCATTTTAATGGGGTTTTGAATGTATTCGAATTGAAATGTATAAACTCTTGTTCTTTGAATTCTGTTAGATAAGTGATCCTCCTGTTAGCGTGTACAAAGGGGAGTCTATGCCCAAGAATACTGAAGAATATCTTGTTTCTCGTGGACTTAAGAATGCCATTTACACTATAAGAGCTGAAGATGTGAAAGATGATCTTTTTGGCAAGCTTGTGCAGTGCCCAGTTGAAGTAAGATTTCACTTGTTAGCTTCTGCAAAGAAATTTCTTTGGAAACTGTGGGATCTTTTTTTTTAACGTGACTGATAATTTCAAAAGAGAAAACTGTGGCCCTGCTGAGGTTTATGGCATAGCAGTTGTTTGCTCTTTCGTTTGTAGCTTATTCATAGGCTGGATACGTTAGTAAGATAACATAATTATAATTTATACGCGAGGCAGAGGCACTTTTATTTTTAAGGTTGAAGAATGTAATAGAGTACGACCCCAAACTTCTCTGGGTAGCTTTCTCCTAATTAATTTGTTTCTCCTTCCTTCTGATTGTAAGGCTGTTGTCTTTTCTGATCAAGTTTTTACTTAGGTGGGTTTATAGTGGTTTGGGAATATGATGTTTTTTCTTTCACATATCAGGACCCGTGTTCAAAGGGTGAAACATCTGTTAACGATGCATCCAAAAAGAGACTCCGTCAACTGTGTGGAACAGAAACTGAGGTAGGTTTGGAATCATAACAACCTTTGAGCTTGAATACTCTCGCTCAAGAATATAAAGAACCATGTTTATCTTTGGAATTCTATCAGTACTTATTTCTGACTTTCTAGCTGAAGATTTCGTTTTATTCTTTATCATTATTATTTCTTTAGCTATACCCTGTGGTAAAGATGAGGTTCTGTGTCAGATGAACTTAGCTTGTACATTTTTCCAATGCTTTATAGGAAGAATTTGGTTCAACTTTCATATCAGACGATCTGTCGAGAAAGCATGCCAAGATAGATCATTCTGCTGTGCTCGAATCACCCCCCTTGAACCGTGTAAGTTGAAGTCTTGGTGATATCTAGTGGTTGGGAAGAATGTACTTCCATAGGATCATTGTATCACATTATGAAGTGGATAGAGCAAAATACGGCAAAGGCCTGAATTCAATTTACTTTCTTGTTAATTAATGACCATCGACCGGAATTTGTCTTATATTTTATTATATAGTCAGGGGTTGGGGAATTCTCAGTCACTTTTTCAGGATCTGGAGTTCTCAATTGTTATAATGTTTCAAAAATGTGTTGTATCACCCACCCAGAAAAAAGAAAGAATGATGTAAGCTATATTTGTAGGGTTCCTGTATTCTTATGTTTGATGGTGCATCAAAAGGAAACCCTGGACTAGCTGGTGCCGGAGCTGTGTTGCGAGCAGATGATGGAAGCTTGGTATACATTTTACCTATGGGGTTATTTTTTGTTTAGTTCTTTGCCTCTCTAAGAGTAACCATTCTTTTCCATATAGATCTGTAAAGTACGTGAAGGTCTGGGCATTGCAACCAATAATGTTGCCGAGTACCGCGCTGTCATTTTAGGATTAAAATGTGCTCTTAGAAAAGGTTTTAATAAGATTGTTGTTCAAGGTGACTCCAAACTCGTCTGTATGCAGGTTTGTGAATATTGTTTTTATCTTCTTCTGCTTAAGGTATTTTATTTATCTCTGATTGTTTGATACTTAAGAAGTTCTTTTTTCCATTTTCGATTTTGTTTTCTTTGTTCTGCATTTGTATAACTGAGAAGGTAACTTGAACAGGTTCAGGGATTATGGAAGGTGAAAAACCAGAACATGTCTGATTTGTATGAAGAGGTGAAGAAATTGAAGGATAAATTTCTCTCCTTCAAGATCAGTCATGTCCTCAGGGTGAGAGAAGCTGATTCCGTTTATCTTTCGTGCCATGTGATATGTCTTGTATAATAATTCACCCACCCCCCACTAAGCCCACCTGAACTTATATCGCCTCAGTGAGGCTGCTTATACCTTTCTGACATGTTCTCGTAAACCTTCAAAGGGACGAAACTCTGAGGCAGATGCTCAAGCAAACTTGGCAATCACTCTTGCTGGTCAGACTTCAAATCTGATTTTGTATTATGCACTTAGTATAGATTCTGCATATGGTCAATTGAGCTAATCTATGTCCATGGGACATGTTCACGATGCAGATGGTCAAGTCCAGGAGGTGTCTGGAAAGTAGTTTAAATGATAGTCCACAGCTGGTTATGTTGGGGTTTGTATCAGAAAATTAGTAAGGCATCACAAGATTTCTGTTTACACTTTGGCCTAAAGTTCGATGTTGATGCAGGTGACCTATTTTTTGAAGATTAGACCCTGATGAGTAGTGTGGCTTTGAGGTTTGCCACAATGTGGTTCGTTGGGCATACATTAACATCATAAACCATGATTTCATCCGCAAAACTGAAGCTTCTGCTGGTTTGCACTTTTGGAGACCGATTATTTATGCAAGTCAATCCTTGGATCAAATCAAAGGGAGATTCAGTTTGACAAACACAAGCTGAAAGAAAAAGGAACACAGGATTTGCTTACGAAGGAATGCGAGCATGTGTGAAAAATTCATACTAGCATTAATAATAATTGTTTCCACATACTTTTGGAGCTTATGTTGAATATCCAATTTTCTGAACCCAAATTCAAAAATAAATCACTTTTCGCCATACTAGCATTAATAATAATTGTTTCCGCATACTTTTGGAGCTTATGTTGAATATCCAATTTTCTGAACCCAAATTCAAAAATAAATCACTTTTCGCCGTGTTCTATGAATACCGCAACTGTGAAATACAACACACAATCGATTGTTGATTAAGTTGATGAAAATTGGAAAGGAAAACAAACAGTAGTTATAAGAATACTATAAGAGATAACATAACAGTGGAGCAAGGACTGAAGGCCCAGATCTTGAATAACACTCTTAGCACTAAAATCAACATTGCAAATGGTAGACTTGAAATCCTTTACAACATTGCATAAAATCTAAACTTCCACTGGTGATTTTCAACATTAACCTCAAGATGTGAAATGCATTACTGCAAGCCATATCCAGTTGAACATCTTTTCCCCCATCAATCCTCTGTGTGATCTGTGTTACCTTCACCGGTCATGGAGCCACCGGCTAAAGAGTTCGAATCCTCCGAAGACTCCCCAAACTCTTCTTTGTACATTTCTTCTATCATAGGTTTCCAGAGCCGAACTCGCGCATTTATGAACCAATTTGAAACCTGAAGCAGACACAATATTGGCATCACATGGTTAGACCAAGTTATAAATGAGATGCTCAATTTGAAATCAATTGGGACATGGATAGAACTGTTGGGGATTACTTGGTTCTTTGACAAGCCTGTTTGTGATGCCAACAGAAGCTTCTCAGAGTCATTTGGATAACTGTATGATCAGAACCACAAGTAAATAGGCAACGTTCAGAGCCACATTTAATTAATTTGGATTAATCACAATCAAGGGCTAATTGGTTTTGGATTGCTTACGGGTGGAGGAAGTGTTCAAAAAGCCAAGTGCGAAGAATTGCCACAGAGGTCTCTGGCAGGCCTCGAATTGGTCTGAAAGCTTGGCGTTGGCTCTGGAAAATGCCAAGCTGTTGAAGAGACATTCTTTTGTGTCTGCACTCTCTGTCAAACAAGTTAAGTTGTGATAGTCCCGAACTGATTTTCGGTACGTCTTGCAACAGCTTTCGTTTTTCGGCATAGATATGGGAAACTATAGCATCTCTTAAGCTGCAAAAATGCCTGGACATGGCCTTGAGTGCCAGAGCTGTGTAAGACTTGGCTGCTCCTTCACCTACTACCATCTCAAATGATGACATCACTTCTTCCATTTGATGGTAGTACTTCTCACATCTGTCCTCAACCTGAAAACAGCAAAGAAAGTATTAAACAAATAGTCCCAAGATTAAAAGTAAACATCAAGATTGTATATACCTGTTCCAACAAGGTGATAAGGTTTGCAAGTCTAGCTTGCAATTCATGCTTGTCAGCGGACATGAGCCCATTGCAGCACAACTCTGCTTTCAGTTCAGAAGAAAGCCCCATAGCACCTCTCCGGCCTTCACCATATAACTTTCCAGCATGTTTTTCATTGCTGATGTCAACTTGTTTTCCACCAACATTAACAATCTCATCTAAGAGGGACTGAGCTGGTTTTAGATATCTTGAATTCCCAATAACATCCGCTAAAGATTCTGTTCCATATGAAGTGGAACAAGATCGACTTAGCGAGTTTGAAGACGAAGCAAGCGCACTGCCTGTGAAACAATACTCATCGCTTACATGTTCAACTCCTGGATTGCAAGCTTCCCCTGATTCTTCTCCAATGATAAAGTGATTGTGGCTCATGAGGTCTGAATTCATAGACCTCTGCCTATATTGGACAGATGGAACAAGCATGTGGGAACCAAGGGACAGTGAGAGCCTCTGTGCTTGGTTCTCAATTGCTGCTCTAGGAAGATCCATCAGATGCCTTGTGTGGTTGTTCATATCTGAGTCCTCTGCACCTGTGCGAGCTTGAACAAGGTGCACTGATCTGGACATTCTCTCCCCAAGAGAATGAAGGCTGGGCAGGACACCAAGAGACTGAGGGAATGTGTTACTATTCGGAAAAGAAGACTCATAAGCATCAAGGTGTTGGCTTTCCAAATGGTTTTGGGCAGCAATGGAGTCTGAGATAATGAATTGGTGAAAGATACTTGAAGCTGGATTTGGGGGTGAGTCTTGTGAAACCATTATAAAGTTAAAAACGATGACAATAGCAAAATGCCTATGTCAAGTGATGAGGTAATAAAAGTATAACTGATCAGGAAATCTATGACACTGAGAATCTGATAATAGCAATTTCGAAAGCAGAAAATCAATATGAAGTGGTAAAGCATACAGTGCCAAAACAATGAATCACAATGCCATATTTAGTGGCTTTTCAAAGCCATGAATGAACATGATATATGAGAAGCTAGAGTTGGGGTTTGCTGCATGTGTGGTAAATGCTTGACCAGCCTAGATAAAAGTAGTTGTGTCATAAAGTAAAAGTAGAAGGCCATCTCAAGATGAAACCTGCAGCATTGAAGAAGAAATCTTTAGTTAAAGGGACTGAAATCATCAAGACTTAAAACAAAAATCCTACATTATTAGGCATGAGTTGGATGGGTACATCATCAATGAATTAAACACTTGAAAGAAATCACATTTGACAGAAAGAATCTCCTTACATGGGACAGAAGAAAATCCAACTTGGTGTAAGTAAATCTGAGTATTTAAGCTGTACGTGCTAATCTACGATGACCCATTATAAATTCAATTGATGATCAACACGAGAGAGAGAGAGAGAGAGAGAGAGAGAGAGAGAGAGTGATTTTCAATTGCCAAAAGCATAAACAAGGTGGAAGCCTAAGAGTAGGGACCAGAAGAGATGAAAACAATTAAACTTTGCCACTAATTCCAACCTCTGATTGGCAGAGATGAAGAATTAACAGAGTTCAAGAGAGTGGGAGAAAAACCTAGCAAGGCTAAAATGAGTCTTCAATGAAGAAGCGAAGAGCAAGCACCAGTCTGTGATTTCAAAGCATACCTTTAAATTTAATGCAGAAATGATTCTCTCTCTCTCTCTCTCTCTCTCTCTGTGTTAACAGGCCTAAATCTAAGCAGCAGAAAGCTATAAGCCTAAAACATAGACTTCTGCTAGTTCCTTAAAGAAGCCCAGTTAATTGGCCAAGTAAAAACGAGAAAATGACAAGAGAAGATGGTCCCAATTTCCCTGGCTATAATACAACAACCAAAAGCATCAAAGCCTCCAGCTTTAGTGTCTGCAGTCACATTTCTTTGGGAGACTCAAAAGTACTTTCAGCTCTCACTAAACAGTGTATGTCTCTCTCTCTCTCTCTCTCTCTCTGTGGTTTGGCTTTGGCTTTGGCTTTGGCAGCACAACAGCCCTCAGCATGTTAAATTGTTCTGTTCACTGCTGGGTTGGGTTGCTCTCTTAGTCTGTAAAAAGGAGGAGAAAAAGTGGGCTGTCTTTTACACACTCCCAGTTCTAGGATTGTCAGCTTGTGAGCCTCAAAGCATATGGAAATATCTAACTTTTTCCTGTTATGTGTCGTGATCATACACAGAGATGTTGAAAGGACACTGATTTCACAATCTTTCAACCACAGCACCAAAAAAAAAAAATGAATAGAAAATAAAGATGGGTTCTTTTCTTTCTGGTGCTTAAGGTTAAGAGAGACAGAGAGAGATTAAAAAAAAAGATATGGTATGATGTTTTGGTCATTATTATTAATTGAGGGGGGGTTGAGGGTGAGGTTTGGTTTGGTGTGCTGATGAGACTAATTCTTGTTTTCTGGGTGTATCTTACTATTTTGGGCTGGTCCGATCGGATGCTTTAAGTAATGATTGCTATCTTTGTTCCTTTGGCCTCCTCCAGTTGTCACTCTCTGATTCTTCTTTGTTTCTTTGTTAATGTAATAGGGACCCTTTAGGTTTAGGCCCCACCACCCCATAGATTAAAGGTGTCTCTCTCTCTGCCTGTATCTGCAAACTCTGAACCTATCCCAGCAAATTTCAAATCGAAATTTTCCGCCACAATTCTCCCCGTGATTATATTGCTTTGGGATAACCACCACCCTCCATTCCAATTCCAAAATTAAAGACTAAAAAGAAAAAGGAAAAACCAGTTTTGATTTGAGCACATAAAAAGTCCATCAGAAAATTCGAATGCTTGGATGATGGATCACTTTATGGACTTTTTTTTTCTCAATGAAGAGGAAAAGGTCATGTTAGGAAAAATCAGGCAATTCTTGTATCACACTTATTTCCAAATGAGAGATTATACATTTGATGCTGTTCAAGTTCCTTATTCAATGAATGCACAAGATATTGCTTCATCGTATCTTTACAAAGCTACTTTACAAATATGCCTAAGGCTCTTCCACCAACCAATCTCTGTTATTTTACAAGTTGGTATTATACACGCATCTACATCTACAATCCCCCATGCTAGCAGCAGTTTCCATCTCTTTCAACTATCAGCAAACGAATTGGGCACAGCTAAAGCAACAAAACAAGCATTCTGTTTTTCCTCTTTTTTTTTGTTTTCCTTCAACGACCCTTGTCTTGAAAGAGACCACTTACCACCCAAAAAGTAGTTGGAGGCACCAATTCTCTCGGACTGCAAAATCATGTAACAGGTGGGTATTGCCAAACCTGGATTAACTGTTGCTGCTCTGGATCCTCATAATGACAATCCAAAGAAGCTGCCGCGTCGTCATGAACTCTTACATGGGATCCAGTAGATGAAGGAAATCCATCATGTTCTTCGCAATGCCGCAAATTCAATGCAAGTGACAACTCATTGCTACCGACTGCAAATTGATCCAACCCCGATATGTCATATGTGACAACAGCATTATGGTTGAGACTGTGACCAGACTTCTGCACTTGCCCTGGTTCATTACTATCAGCAGTTGCAGATATCATGCTTTCCTGCAACTCCTCTTTCCTGTCCTCAGATGCTGAGAATTCAGCTCTTGCTTCTTCCTTTAGCACATTTTCTGGTGAAGATTTCGAATCCATGTCCAAATCACCAAATTCTTCTTTGTACATCTCCTCAATCATGGGCTTCCAAAGACGTACCCTTGCATTGATAAACCAGTTGGCAACCTGATAATGAACAATATTAGTAATGACACTATGCAAAAAAAACACAAGGATCCAAATGGCCTCAGACATTTGGTGATGAAATATTTTGAATTAAGCTAAGAACTTCAAATGATTAAGAGAAATTACAAGAATGAGTATAAGAATTTGATGAGTCATCTTACCTGGTTTCTGGTTAACCCTGTCTGCCTTGCTAGCATAATTTTTTCTGAATCCTTTGGGTAACTGGAGGGACACCAAAAACCACGAAAGAATCAGTGAACTGAAGTTCTTAAGAAACTGACAAGTATGATTTTCAATCAAAGGGGAAATGGTGTTCAGGTACAAACGGAAGAAGGAAATGCTCAAACAGCCAAGCACGAAGGATTGCAACAGAGCTTTCCGGAAGTCCTCTTTGAGGCCTCCAAGCATGCTGCATTCCGCCAAGCTGCTGAAATGCCCTCTGCTGTCTGAGCTGCTGGTCCACGTAGCGAAGGCGGGGTATTACTCCTCCTTGACCATCTGATGAAGAATCTTGCTCTCCCAGTCTTTTCCGTGCCACTTGAATTTGGCCTTTGATTGCATCACGCAAACTGCGGAAGTGACGGGAAATTGCTTGGAGAGCAAGTGCAGTGTATGGTCCAGCAGCCCCATTCCCAGCCACCTTGTCAAAATATGACACCACAACTTGCATTTGCTGGTAATATTGTTTATATCTTCTATCTACCTACAAGAAAAGAAAAAAAGTCATATCAATTGATGAAATAAGAACAAAGAAAAAGTATTTAACAAAATTGTTTTGGAATTGGGATTATTTACCTCATCCAACATGGACAAAAGTTTGGTCTTCTTGTTCTGCAAATCCTGTCGTTCTGCTGGTGATAGCTCCAGAGTAGAGATGGTACTTGATTCACTAGGATCCGATGACCTTGTTAAATGTTGATCATTCCCATCAGTCTCTTTGGAACCATCAAATCCAATCCGCTTAGAGTTTTGATGCTTGTTCAGTCGAGACTGCTTCAGCGCCTTTCGGACATTTACCGCTTCATCAAGCAACTGTTGTGCCGCCTTGAGGTACTTGGAGCTTAACATAGTGCTAGCGGAACCTAATGAGTCATACAAGTATGCTTCGGAATGCATTTCTTTGGATCCCACTGAGCACATAGGATTGTACAAACTCTGCGTTTTGACAGTCTCATGGCCACCACCACCATAGAAGCCAGATGTCAAGCTTTCAAAGTTCTTAAACTCCTCACTTTGATTGTACTCATCACCTTTACGGTAAATTTCCCCCTTCCCTAACATTGGAGAGGTGCTCAAAACCGAAGAGAGACTTGGATTTGGATACTGGTACTGAAATGAAGGCAGGGAAACAGCAGGTGGAATTTGTGTGGAGGCAAGGCTAAGAGATAACCCATGATCCTGAATATTACGTTTACCAATCAAAGAATCCCCAGTTACACAATCTCGGGCTTGATCACTTGTAGGTGGAATAAACATCATTTCATTCCTGACACCATCAGAATCAGCATATTTGTGAGGAGAGAAAGAGCCGCCGGACAAGACTTCAGAGTAGGATCCAGCAGCATATGAAGATTGATTCAGATACATCATCATGTTGGCGGGGGGTTCAGGATAAGAAGCAAGTTTTTCATCCCCTGCATAGGAGGGGTTCAATAAGTTTTGGTTGCTTAAATTTTGGAAATATGTAGCCATAGCTTGGTTGGTTGGTTCCTCTGTCTCCAAAGCCAAAGCTTTGAGTTAACCTGCGACGAAATCCAAATTACCAGTCTTGCTCAGAAACAAATTACCATTGTAGATCAATCACAGATTCCTACCATAGAAAATAAGAAACTCATCAAAAAGAAAGCCTAACCAAAATTACCAAAAGCAAAACCAGCAAAATGAAAAGGAACCACAGAGTGATCAAACTAGAACAGAAGCCAAATTTAACCCAAATATCAAAATCTTCTTCTTCTTTTTTTGGGGATCATCAGAAGTATGTAGTGAACATGTTAACACAGGAAATTAATATCAAGCACTCAAATTCCATTCCATTCCATCACAAAGAAGAATAGTAACATAATTAATTAAAATGAAAGCAGCAGGGGAGCTTCGTGAAGTGTACCTGAAAGGTGTGGTCTGGGAATGAATTGTGAAGCAAAAACAAATGGGGAAGCTTTAGATGGATAGAAGAGAAGAGAAACTGAGGCAAAGTCCTCCACCACCTCGTCCTCCCTCCCGAACTGGAGACAAACACCAATCCCGAGAGATTGAGATATAATAATTCCCAAACAAGACCAACCTCCTTATCATTGGAACAGCGGCACCTACTTCTTCAGGAGAATATTATTATATTATGATTATTCATAATTGAATAATGGAAAGAATGGGGAATATCAACACCAACTTGAATATTTTATTCTCCCATTAAAATATTATGAGTTTTTAATTGTACATAAAAAAAATGGGGAAATTAGTTTGGCCATATGTATACGCTAACAACCCAGACAGAAGAGAAAGTTCCTGGCGTGGTAGACTTGGACTGTGACTAGAAGAGGTGACGGGCGTGGGTTGTGGTGGTGGGTGTTTGCTTAAGACGGTTCAAATCAAACGTTATTACGCTAACGGCTAACCAGTAACCACCAGTGGGTGAGTTAAGTGAGTCGTTTCAATTGTTGTTTGTTGTTGTTGTATTTTAATTTCTTTTTTCTTTTTAATTTAATTATTTTATTGTTTGGATAATTAAGGGGTTGGGGATTTGGGCTTTGGGATTTGGGCTTTGGGAAATGTATTCTATTATTGGTATGTTATTTATTCGCTGTACTAGTACGTTAGTTTATTTGAAGCCTCGTAGAGTCGTAGTACATAGCTTGGTTGTCTCGTCGGAAGATGGATTTACAGTCCGTTAACTCTAACGATGGGCTCGTAGAGTCGTAGTACATAGCTTGGTTGTCTCGTCGGAAGATGGATTCACAGTCCGTTAACTCTAACGACGGGTTAGACTTAAAAGATTACACCGTAATTTCACCGTTACGGGCTTATGAAATTACTCTTTGCTTCTTTTTCTCTTTCTCGTAAATAATAGAGTTGGGCACGATACAGTTTGGTTTGTTTTCCCCTTGAATGGAAATCAAAACTGAAACTTACACATAATCTGATTTGGTTCGATTTTCATAAAAAGTGTCTAAAAGAACCAAATCAAACTAGACCTATACAGTTCTGATTCGGTTCGATTGGTTTTGAATTTGAAAAAATAAAAATATGAAGAGGTGAAGGCAAGAAAAATAGGAAGAAGAGAGAAAGACGGAAACACAACAAGAATGGTTATAGTTCATCGAAAAGAAAAATAAGTTAAGCTAGAATTGGGTATAAATTGGAACCAGTGGCGAATCCATAATTGTGACTCCATAGAGTCAAAGTGTAAAAAATCATAATTTTTTTTAGTGCCTAAGCTGTTAGGTGTTGTGTTGATCAAAACATCAAATTGATGGTATGGTGCTATATATTTCTACTTATATAACAAATGCTTGAAGTCATCATTTTCATCTTGCTTTGTTTGTGTTGGTTTTATCAGTTTGTGCATTCTTTTCATTCCTATTCTATACGATCTGATCTTAAGTATTTTGTGATTTTTGTGTAATTCATTCTAAGTGGTAAATTGAATTTGAACCTCTAGTATACTTGTTCCCTGACTAAATCATAATGTGGAGATTGGCAAAGTTTGTGTGCTAGAGGAGATGGGGGATGAGGGTTTGAGGGGAGATTGGGGTTAGGGTTGAGGAAAGAATAAGAAAATTAGGGTTTGGAGGGGTGGATTTTGGGTGATGCTTTAGCATTTTATTTTTATTTTTAATTTTAAGTATTGGCCCAAAACAAAGTGGTTTTGTCCAGACTATTTTGAAAAAAATAATAATAATAATAAAGAGACAAGATGCGTTGCGCATCTCCTTCTTCTTCTTAGGACTTCCATTGAGTAGCTGGTGGGTAACTCCATGGGGGTCACACTCCCATCAAACAAAGACCTTCAAGGATACTTCAATGGATGTCATGGGGTCGTTTGACCCATATTGGCTTCGATACTGATTGGAATTAAGGATTTGGATATTCATTGGAGTTACTAATGTATTTTGAATTAATTAGGCTTACTGATTTTGGATATATATGAATAAGTAAACTTAACATAACTAGTTTGGTTCGGTTTAGATCGGTTTTTCCAATGCAATAATCAGGACGAGAATCGATCCAAAGCGGTACGGTTCGTTTTATTAAGCATGTGTTGACTTTTTTTGTCAACACAATTTTTTTCGACTTGGTTCAACTCGAATCATCGGTTCAAATGCCCACCCTAGCAAATAATTGTCTTTTATTGCAAAATGATCCACCAATAGGCAATATCTTTCTTCTTTTTTGGGTATGAAGATCCAAAAATAACAGAAAGTATGGGATTTTATTTTGAATTGAGTTAATTGAAATGAAGCCCTTTCCATAAACCAAAATACACATCAGCAGACAGGTAGAGGTTTGGTTGTAGCTATAATCAATTGTATTATTGATCCTCTTGTTGTAACTATGGTTTCGTTGAATTGAAATTATATTTATTTCCATTATAAAAAAAATTAAACTCATCGTATTAGAATTCCTACAACTCATCACTTTGAATATGCAATGTTCAAATCATTTTGGTATAGAGGATGTCAAATGAAATAAGAGGATCAAACTTCTATATTGAACCGTAGACCAAAGTTTCCACCATAATGCCATATTACTACACCAAATCCACCAATCTATTCTATCAACAACAAAAAATCACCAAACTATTATTTAGTTTAAGACTCAACATATTTCTAAGACTTCATTACCCAACGTTAATGATTATATTCCTTAACAAATAAACTACATATTATAAAGTTTATTATTTGATCATGAGTTATTATAGGATTAGACAACTCGGTGTCCAAAAGTATATTTTTGGACTGCAGAGAATTTGAGATATCAAAAATTTAGGAATTTCTTAGATAATATATTTGGTTAAGGGAAGAAACTATAAAATAATTAAAAACCACCGCAACGACTTGCACTTAAAAAACAAGAGCCTTGACCCAAAAAAACAAAACAAGAGCAACGGCCACGCGGATCACGAAATCCTCAGATACGTGCGTGGCAAATAGGAAAGCTCCAAAAGCTTCTAGTGCAGTGGGTCCCAGAGAGAGAGTTTTTGATGAGATTGCCGATGCTCGCGCGCGTGATTAATTGTGTACTTTTTCTAAGTATAGTCTAGACGATTCCGAGGGAGGGACAACTAAAAACACGATTAATTCTTACCCCTAAGTTGATTAATCATATACTTGTATAAGTATTTTTCCTGAAAATTTAGAGGGACTTGAGAGAGCAAAGCAAAGCAAAGTATTTCCGACCCTGCCGTCGACCTCTCTTTCGCGCTCGCTTGCTTAGGAAGCCATGACCAGCTCCTCTGCCGCTTCACGCAAGGTTCTTCTACTTCTCTCTCGTATTTTACAGTTGAAATATATTTATGGTTGTACATGTAGCCCCAATTTGTTTTCTTTTGCTTTCTTTTTTAAAATAAATTTTTGGTGCTTAGGCTTTAAGCAAGATCGCCTGCAATCGGCTCCAGAAAGAGCTTGTGGAGTGGCAGGTCAATCCCCCGGCCGGTTTTAAACACAAAGTCACTGATAATCTTCAGAGGTTCCGCTTTCAATTACATTAGTGTAGTTTTAATTAATTTTTCGTACGATTAATTTTCTGATGTTTGTTATTTCCTTTGAATTTTTGTGTGAAGATGGGTCATCGAAGTCAGCGGAGCCCCAGGAACTCTTTACGCCAATGAAACATATCAGCTCCAAGTTGATTTTCCCGAGCATTATCCTATGGAAGCACCACAGGTCCAAAATTATTTAAATCTTCTGTCTTGATTATTGTAGAGTTGTAGATGTGTTAGTGTTTCAAACAATTGAAGAAAACAGAACCATACGCAAATGTAGATGCTTAGTATAAACATTCCCCGAGTATTCTCTGCAACCAAGCAATCACAGGAGGACATTTATATTTGAATTATTATCTTAATTGATTGTGATTTATAGGTTTGATATTATCGTTTTGGTATTCCAGGTGATTTTTATCCCTCCAGCTCCTCTGCATCCCCACATTTATAGCAATGGCCATATCTGTCTAGGTACTGTTTTTGTCTTTGAACTCTGTTTTTACTATTTCCCATACTATCTTTAGTTTTCAATAAATGCACCTGTATGGAACTAATGTATTGGTGTTAATTCTTATTTTCTTTTTTCTTGCTGAAGATGGAAAATTAGATTTCTATGCCATTCAAGTCTTGCTTTTGACTTACGTGATTGGTAGTTTAATTCTATCAATATGATGACTAGTTGTTAAGTTGTTTGGCTGTTACATCGTAATGTTTACTTACAAATTAGGAAACTTATACAATAAGTTTAATTGGAGTCTATTGAATTTGCAGACCATGCAAGTTTGGCCTTGGAGAGTATCCTTCTCTGTTCACCTAAGCTTGAGGCAAACTAATTGTGTCTGCATTTATTTTGATCCTAGCACTGTTTAGAATGTTCCATTAACTTTTGGAGAAGACAAGCCAATGAAGGTCAGCCATCATCTGAAGGAATATATCTGGATTAAAATTTGAGAAGCCGGGTAATATTGTTTTGTTGGCTCACACGCCCAATCGTCTGGTGCCTACTGTAGTGAATACACCAGATATTGGGGCATTCATCTTAGGTTGGAGATTGTCAAATTCAGAATGGGCCTGGTCAGAAACTTGACGGAAAAAATGAACTAGAAGTCATGTCTAGTAGTGAGCTAGAAGGCATATAACTTTTATTATTGAACCACTGCAAGTATTATAACCATACCATACTGTGAATTTAAGAACAAAGGACCGGGAATTCTTAAGAAATTTTGACGAGTAAATTATAATTTGTAGTGGAACCTCAATTTTAAGAAACCACTCCTTTTTTGGTTACTTTATGAGGCAACAGTAGTGAGTCCAATGGCATGATTACTCACAGTTAAAGTTTTTAGGCTGTGGTTATTGGATAGAATCCTCTAAGGCATTGTGAGTCACTCTGCATCGCTCATTTTCGCATCTAACCTTATTATTGCAGTTATGAGCTTTTACAGTTCAGGCTACTATTGTTCCCTCTAGGTGTAAAGTTTGGTCTTTCAGACGCTATACCTTTTCTTTGTTTTGTTGCTCGAAAAGATGAGATAAGAAAAAAGGGGATTATCTTGTGCTTTTTGCAATCCTTGGTTCCCTTTGGAATGTGAGGCTAAGGTGAACATAGTTCCCTTGCCTTCGCAAGCAATGACAACTTCTTGTTTCAAATTTATTGTTGTCTTTTACATGTTTCTGCAATGCGATACTTAATTTTCCGGTATTTGGTGGTTATCATGCTCTACTGCGAGTTAGGGTGAGCAGCTTCGCTAGATTTGTCGGTTAATGGTTTTTGTTTTCATTTGCAGATATTCTATATGATTCATGGTCTCCAGCCATGACTGCTAGTTCCATCTGTATCAGCATTCTCTCTATGTTATCGAGTTCCACTGTGAAGGTTTGTTTCAATATGTTGAATTCAAGCTTTTGATGATTATTGGGTAGAATGAAACTCATGACCATCATTCGTGCAATTTATCATTGTGCAGCAACGCCCAGCAGATAATGATCGCTACGTGAAGAACTGCCGGAATGGCAGATCTCCCAAGGAGACGAGATGGTGGTTCCATGATGATAAAGTGTAATGACGTAACAAATATTTATCAACTATGTATAAAAAGATAAAAAGAAGGTTTTTGATTTGGAATACTATTTAATCAATGTTATTGTTGAAAGAGGGGGGGAACCCCTTTGCACATCCGGCTTCCTATGCATATTGCATGGAATACATATATCCAGTGAGGTGGGTATCCAATCAGATTGCATAATGCAACATCTCTGGATACAATCAGATTGCATAATCCAATTAGCTTCCAAATATTTGCGTTTGGTTCAATCATGTTCTTCATTTGGTACAACTAAGAAAAAGGAGGGAGGGGACTAATGGTTGTAGTAACAATAAGATTACTGAAAAGTGTTAAATCAACTGGCAAGGCAGGTCCGAAATAAAATTCCAATTAAAACAACATAATTCAACAAAAAGAAATAACATATAGACCAATATATCCCCAGAACCGCTTCTGCATACGCCAGCCTAGGATTTGCGTCTTTATAATCGGTACAAAATATCCCAAAACGGTAACTTGAGCCGTGTTTTGTTTTCCCTCCACTAAAACACGTGTGAGAGGTTTATAGAGGAAACAAATGCTATCGCGACGACTTCCTTCTACGGCGGTTTCTTTCTCATGGCGGCGGTCCAGACTCCCGAACTTGGTCCCCACCCAAACGGTGCAGATGGTTCAGAGATCTCTCGAGTCACTCTCCGTTTGCCCTAATAAAGTTTGCATGATTGCCTTCTGTTATTCCACCAGTCCTCAAATATCCGCCGACTTGACCGACTCAATCCCCCAACCGCCGTCAAAACAAGTAACTCTACTTTCCCTTCAATTTCATTTTCACTCTCGTTGCTTGCTGAGAATCCAATCGTTATTTTTCATTTTTTGTTGACGAAAATGAATTATTTTGCTTTTTTTATTTATAAAAATTATATTTGAATAAAACATTGTGTTTTGATTGAATTGCAGGGTCCTCTTCAACCCGGTCTGTATCTAGTAGGAACTCCAATTGGAAACCTCGAAGATATCACTCTACGGTGCTCACTCAATTTATACATAGAATTAGAAAACATGTTTTTCCTTTTATTTTTTTAATCTGATGCGAATTTCTCCAATGCAGAGCCCTCCGAGTCTTAAAATCAGCTCATGTAATACTTTCAGAAGATACCAGGCATTCTGGAAAGCTGCTCCGCCATTACAATATTAAAACTCCCCTTGTACAATACGGAATTTTATTTTTTCCTTTGGGTTTCTAGTTTGGTTGCCTTTTGGTTTTAGTCATTTTAATTTATGCTTTTAGATTACAGCTGAGCTATCACAAATTCAATGAAACCCAAAGGGAACAAACTGTGTTGAAGAGGCTGAAGGAAGGTGAAATTGTGGCGCTCATAAGTGACGCTGGGATGCCAGGCATCAGTGATCCTGGCACCGAATTGGTGAGGATCCCCTCCCCCTCTGTTCACTATTTTGCTTTATTTTTTGAGCAAGCAATGTATCGTTTGTCAGCTCGAATTGGTTTATGTAAGTGGTTTAGTCAATTGTGAGATGACTTCGAGTAGTTCAGCATGTCATTGTGGATATGGTATCTACAGAGGATATAAGGTGGTAACCAAACCAGCACTGCATTGGAGGTTTCCACATTCCATATATTATGAAGAGTGGAATTGGTGTGTGTATTAATATCAAGTCTTGGTGCAGGCAAAGCAATGTGTGCATGAAAACATCCCTGTTATTCCAATACCTGGACCGTCCGCTTTTGTTGCTGCCCTCTCTGCCTCTGGCCTATCCACTGATGAGTTTACATTTGGTAAGTAAATTTGTCATGCTGCTTGAAGTTCTTCTTGTTGGCTGTGGACTGTGGAGCGGGGAGTATCCGGATTAATAGAACCCTGTACTAATTATGTACTTCTGCAGTTGGATTTCTCTCTAAACACGCTGGATCTAGAAGAGAGAGGCTGATGGTTTCAGCAAATGAGGCGACGACACAAATATTCTATGTGCCTCCCCACAAGCTTCGTGAGTTTCTTGAAGAGGCTTCTTCACTTTTTGGTGTTACAAGGTAAATATCTCTTTCCTTCCTAACTCATTGATAATAATGTTTTATTATTGTTTATTTTTGTGAGTTGAAATTTGCACTATTGGATTGATGTCCGTTTACTGATCCAGTGGTTTTACAAATAAATCACCGGGTGACTTTTTACTTATAATTGTGATGCAGACAATGTGTCATAGCTCGTGAAATTACGAAAGTTCATGAAGAGGTAGGGTTTTTATGATTTATTTTCTTCCTGTTATGTTGCTTTGATGGGCTTGTGAGAATCTTGACTGCTGGTCAGCTTATCAACTATATGAACAGTATTTTACTTGCTGCATTTTTTTTATGCGAATCTCATGGCATTAGATATTTAAAATCCTGTTGTTATGTTGTTCATTAACAAACGAAAAATTGAACTACCATGTTCTCAAGTAGTATTTGAGTCTTCTTTTTGGTGATATAATTTCTAGAGTTGTTGACATAAATCTTTGACTAGTGACTGGTAATATGTGCCAGGCCAATGCTACTATGCTAGTATAAAATTGGCGCTCAAAAGTTATCTTTCTTGTCTTGGGGCTACTGTTCAGGCTCTGCAATTGGGTTCCTTTATTTGGTAGATTATAGCCACAGTTTCTATTTCCTTTTGGGCTGTGCGTTGCTTGTCTGACATTTTAGACACAAACCGACCTCACCTCACTAGTGCTTGAGCAATGTGATTCAATCCTCTTGGATCTCAGATCCCATTGGGAATAACTAATAAATCCATTGGGCCACCTTATATGAGTGTACTTCATTTTCATATATATATTTGGAGCATTGCTTTATCTTTCTATTAATTTAAAATGCAATGATATGGTCTCATCAAAAAGAAAAAATTTCAAAGATATGGAGAATCTATTTTGTGAATTCAGTGAATTATTATCTTGATGGTTCAATTCGTCTATTTTTAAATGCTAGCATGTTTTTTCACAAACAAAATTACTACTCCGTTAATTTCATGTTGCGATTTTGACTTATTATATGATGTCCCAAATTTTGATGCCTCATCAGTTTTGGCGGGGTACATTGGGAGAAGCTGAAGAAGTGTTTTCTACTCGGACGCCAAGAGGTGAAATTACAGTGTTAGTTGAAAGAAAGGAAAATTCTCCGGTTGAAACACCTTCAGAGTCTCAGCTTGAGGATGAGTTAAGAGATTTGATTTCCAATGGGCATAGCCTTTCTACGGTAACAACTTCTTTTCGAGTATATCGCATGTTTTTTTTTTTTTCACAAGAGCGTGTATATCCAAGGCTTCTTGCATATTCATTTTACTAGTGGTTGAAATGCACTTTCCATATTTAACAAAATCATTAAGGAGATCTCTTCTACTGTTTACAATATAACATCATAGATAGTGGAACATTTCATTGAGGAAAATTCGCAATGGCATCTTGTGATGGATTTGATGCAGCAGATGGATCTCATTATGGAGGTCTTGGTTGGGGCAGTACCACGTCACACTCGTACAACCATTCTCACAAGAAAAGGATGTCTTTCTTGTGAGAGTGGTCGTGGGATAACATGGCTGGGCCGCCTCACTCAAGACTCTCTCCTCTTCATGACTGCCTTTAAGCCCTATGTTTTGTCATTTTCTGCTGTCTCTCTTGATCATGAACGTTGGGGTGTTTGACAACTCTTATGTACGTATAGGCTGTCAAATTAGTGGCTGATGGCACATCAGTGAGAAAGAAAACGATATATTCAATCGCATTGAGAAAATTTGGGAAGCAACTTGGTTCAGAGAGTCATGAAGATCCATGCAAGCGACAGCTGGAGTGACCTTGGATGTTACTGGTGGACCAGAGAGTAAAGTGCTTATTATGCGAACTGATTTTTGTTTCTTAATATGTGATGAAAATATTTACGTGAGTGTTTTAATAGACTAAATTTACAATGCCGTAGCTCATATTACTGACCATTCTAAAAAGGGTAAGACAGTAAATTGCCAAATCGTGAAGGAACTGTGTTCGAAGAAGTTGAGGACAAAAAACGTCAAGACCCAGAGGCAAAAACCAGGACACGCCGTGTCGGGAACTCGGGATCACGGGCGCTGCATACAACAACATGACATATGCAGATCAAGGTAATAGAACCCACCGTTCCACCTTCTAGCCCTCACCGAACAACTCCTGAACCTCACCACACCCTAAAACACCCCCCCTCCTCTTTTTTATTTATTTAATTTTAAATAACAACCGCGCTGGTTTGATTATAAAAAATATTTCATCTTCCTGCCAGTAGTGTATGTACAAGAGCTTAGAACTATGCTATCCCTAAAACTTATCGACTATGTGCGGTTTTCTACGTTTTTGTGGTCATCAAGAAATTGACAACAATTTATCACCACCACCGTGATTAGAAATTGAAACGGAAGAGGATGGGCTAAAAATACGTTGGCCAGTGGCTAAAATGCGCCGGGGGTCGAAATCCACCTTCCTCTGGTAAAATTGGTCCCACTTATCTCCAAAGTGGTCCATCCACTCCTCCTGTGTAGTGTAGTGGGGAAGGTACTGTTTCGCCTTGATGCCTGCATCATCACAGAATTTTAGGATCTGACGGTTCTGATTGGTCAGGTGCTCCAAGGTGTGGGTCTCATCGCCAGTATCCAAGGCGGATCTTAGCAATGCCACTAGGTAAAAGATGTCCTCATCGGGTGTCACCACCGAACTCCTCTGGTCCCACCTACACAGAATCAAAACCACATAAACGCCAATGAGCAAAACATGTTTTGGAATTTGGATTGGATCTGCAAGAGGTGTGTAGCGTGGCAGTGTGCAAGATGGATGCGTATTTGGTTGTTTGGATTTGATCATCAGCAAGACCCACTCCACCAGCACCATTGTGGACAGTGGAGGAGGGTGACGGGTCGTTCCATGTCCATGTCATCAAAACTGTAACCTTGCGTAGAGCTTACAGCATGAGAGTCATTGTGGCCGTGGATGCAATTGAATCTCATAACATATTTTGATGATATACAGTCATTCGCATGCGTGCGTATGCGTAGACGACTGATGCTAACATAATTATCATAAGCTTATGTGGATTATGTTAATATGTACTCTAGTACTAACGACTACGTTTCTGGAGCTACCATGTAAAACGACATGGACGACATCCCATCAGTGGATCCACTGACACCAGAATCTTTCCACTTGGATGATCTCCACCGTCGCCTTTGTTGGCTTTTCCACCCAACCCCCCCAAAAAAAAGAGTAGTGTTTGTGCGTGTGGTCCTGGACCAAGTCCAAGTGTTTTGGCTGCCTAACTATGGACTTTACCTCTCATCATATCATCTAAAGACCAAAAGCCATAGTCCATCCGTAGACAGATTGGACAACTATTCACATCTTGTCATGTGAATGATGAGGACTTGCTTGAAAAAGAAGGTTTATTAAGTTACGCATATATCCAAGATTATGGGTAATGGTGAAGACGATGGATGTCGTTTCAAAATTGTGTTAAAATTTGGCTCCTAAATCTGACCCCAAATATATGATTACAAAAGCATATATGTTCTTCAAGTTCCAAAGCCTTCATTATTAAGAAGGTCCGCAGCTGCTGTCATAGAAGATTCTATTTGTCTTTATGGAAAATTTACCATAAGTGCTGCTTAGAGATAGGTTCAACAAATAAGGGCAACAACCTCGATTCATATTTTATTCTTGTTAAAATAATGGATGCAATATCAACAGCTATATATCGTTATGTTTGCAGGCATGCATGCATGCAATGAAAACAACATAAGTACTTACTTGTCTTTGTTCATGGGGTAAATGAGGATGGGCCCGCTTGTCTTATTGCCCAAAATACCCTTGAACACCCCCTCATCGAAGTCAGAAATCCTTGATTTGGGGACAAAAAGGTTAAGCCATGGGTGAGGCACGTCCCACAAACTCTTGGACCGGAGCTTCAGCTCCGCCTTGTGGACCCGGTCCAGAAAATCCACGTAAGGAAGATCCGTTGTGAAGACCGACGTGGGTACAAAATCCAATTTTTTTAACAAACACTCTATTTCCTGCGTGAAAAACAAAACCCCCAACTCACAATTTTAAATTATTTGGGGTTTAAAAAAAAAACAATCAAAGTAGAGTAAAGAAAGAAAGCTGCTACCAAACCAAAGTGTTGCTTTTGTCAGGATAAGTTCCATTCAAGAGGAATAATTTGGTGAATTGGGCGGCTTATTAGATTTAGTAATATACAATTAGAAAACAATTTTGAAAAAAAGCTTGTATTCAATCTTAGGTTTGAATAAGATAATAGATCGCAGATCTTCCATGTTTTCTTGTTAATTACATTTTGTGGTAGCTAATCATATAATCTAGGTTTAGTGGGGACCCTGAAATATTATTGATTGATCAATCTAGCTTCGAAACCTTGCTCTCTTATTGGTTTCAATACGTGTACGATGATAGATAGCCACTTTATTTAATTACTCTTTAAAGTCTGAGATTACCAACCAATTGTTGAATTGTTGCTCCTGCTTGCTAGCCATCTCTTTATTCTAATATTATATATATATATATATATATAATATATGTATGCGTTTTCTTTCTCGAAGCTGGTGTTGCTTTAGCATGCTGCATGCACGACGCCATCACTTATTTATAATATTTATTTACCGCTCTTTCGTATTTCTCTAGGTTTTTATACCAAAAAAAAAATTTACTTTAATATTTTTAGTGGGTTGGGTTGGGTTGGTCTATATTCGTAGAAATTATACATAACTTGCATGCCTGAAATTACGACTATATGTATTTATATGTTGGTTGGACTAATGAGGCCTATGGATTGAGTGGCAGCTAATTGAAGACTAATCACCAACCACCAAATTAATAAAACTATAACACGTATACAAATTAATACCTGGTCAATTGTATCAGCAGTTGATTCATGGTAGTTTTTGGTAATCTCCAAGCAATATAAAACACCCCCTTGAGAATTAATAGAGGTGATTTTGACAGGGTTGCTAGGAGAGAAGAAAGAGGACCTCCAATTGTTGATGAGGCCTTCATCTACAATTACGAAACCCTCGACATAGTCGAACTTGTGGGTTGAGGGTTGCCCATGCAGAGAGATGAGGAATTCCTGATCTTTGGTAAAAGCCGAAAAGTTGGAATACAGTACTCGGATCCACCTCACCTGTTTGACAATGGCAGCAAATAAAGCAATAATAAAAACAAAATTAAAGCACCAGAAAAAAGGAGATAGAGAAAGAGACCATGTTAGTTAAAGAAGCAAAGAGGACATGTCAACAACATTGCCAGCTATAGAATACCGGTTTGAATAATGGGTTCAAAAAGCTCCAATTCATGGACCCATATTCGATCCCTTCGAAACCCCCTTAGGTAGGTGAAGCTCATGCTCATCATACCTTGCTTTTTAGGACTCGTTTTTGTCCCACCATGGGAAGGTGGAACCCAACCAAAACCCATTTCTATTGAAACAACTTATTATAATAATATGAGAGGGAAGAGAGAGAGAGAGAGAGAGAGAGAGAGAGATACCCTTTGGGGGGCAGGTTCGAGAGCAATTCTAGCCCTAGTGATGATTCCAAATTGCCCTAGCCCACCAAGAACAGCGTGGAACAGCTCTGCGTTTTTCTCTTCTGAACATGTCAATAGCTCGCCCCTGCCTGTTTAACAAACAGTTTGGTCATTCCAATAATCATATGCTAGCTACACAAGAGATCGATTTGCCATTGATCATATACATAAAGACAAGCACTTCAATTGGCAGCAACGGCAACAAACTTAATAATGTCATGATGAGAATATATATTGTTAGATCGATTGGTTGGTGATATATGTATAACAAACCAGGCCATGTGAGGGGTATAATTAATTAATATGCTAATGCTACATACACAAGAGATTAACCACCTTTCTCTCTATTACGTCCACACTTATATCAGTAAAACAAACAATATCTAAACTTTGTAATATACACCATGCAAACACTTACAAATAAATTAGGGGAAATTAGAAAGAAAGGCACAAAAACAAAAACAAAAAAAGAGTGATATGATTAAATTTGGAACCTGTAACGACGTCGAGCTCATCAACACTGCTAATCTGAGGGCCATGATTGAACGCTTGGCCGCTGATACCGGCGTTGGAGAGGGTTCCTCCGACCGACAAGTACAAATAGTCCGTCCACGACTTTGGTGCGAGTCCATATTCCAGCGTGCTCATCAGCACATCTATCCACAGCTCCCCACCCCAGGCGTCCACGTACATACCCTTCTCCGAAACCCGACCCGACCCACTTCTTACCCGACTCATAACTCTTCCTGATGATCCGCCGCCGTTCATTTCAATGACGACCCCATTGTTGGTCTGCGCCTGTCCGTTGATGGAGTGCCCGTGGCCCCTGGCCGAGACCGTGAATCCGTGAGCCGAAGAGTAAGCTGCTCGCACGAGTCTGGCCACGTCTTGGGCAGAGCCCGGGTGCAGAACGGCCAGGGGCTCGGCTCGGGTCATCAAGCCGAAGTCCTTGGAGGCGGTGTCGACGTCGGAGGGGTCGACGCTGAGCTGACCTTCAACAACAAGCCGGAGAAGCTCCGTGGGGTCCACGGTTAATCCAACCGTAACAATCAATCTGCAGATGGCGAATGTAATTAAAAGAAGCTTAGTGGCCATATGTATGATTGATTCTTGATCTTCTTGTTCTTGTTCTTTTTTGTGGATGGATGGTTGAAGATGATGGATGGTTGAAGATGATGAATGATTATAAGGTAATAATTGGCTACATAATGGCGGTTAAAAGGGGTGAAGGATAAGAAAAGTGCGCACACCGGCGGAGAGAAGTAGGCGGCGGTGGTATAGCTATATATAGTGAGAGAGTGAGAGAGAGTGATGATAACGTACGTATACGTAGTGTTAGAAAAAGAAG